TTCTTTAAAAATCAGACAATGTGATTTTCTGGATTTTCCCCCCCATTGTGTCTCTCATAGTTGAGGTATACCTATGATGAAAATTACAGGCCTCTCTCATCTTTTTAAGTGGGAGAACTTGCACAATTGGTGGCTGACTAAATACTTGAGTCTACAGTAATACACTGTATGTATTAGTTTCCATTATAAGATTATCTAGGCCTATTTCTGATTTTTTTTCTTTTTCCGTTTGTGGGGGTTCGGTGGAAATGATTTCATGTAACTGTGAAGTGGTAGACTCTGATGGTGACACTAAAGACAGCATGCCTACTGCTTATTTAATATTGGGTGTGTGTACTGATAAAAGCAAATCAGCAGAAGGAACATCTCCCTGCTTTGTTAAATCACATCCAACTACTATAAAGTAATTCTGATTTTATTGAAACAGGAGAATTCCAGTAGCAAGCTGAGAATAGCAATTATTCAAAAGCTGTGATTAGACAACAGTCCTTAAGGGGAATGAACATGCGCGCGCACATGCACACACACACAGCGTAAGAATATTAATACTGATTAACTTAATACTGACTAACATCTTAGATGTTCAAAGCAGCAGCTATTCTCATAACAATAATTCATTTAGGCCACTACACCTTAAGTTGCTTTGCTGTATGATCTGCATAGTGCACAGCTTCCTATTTTACTCAATATTCATTCAATTATTTCCAAACAAGGATTATTTAATGCCTGCTGCCTTGATTAGGATTTAGTCAGTAGAAAGTATACTTCAGGACCAGCAATTTATTCCTCAAATCCTTAGGACTGCAGAAATGCATTCTGCTCATTTTTTACTTCTCTACCCTGCCTGCCGAGATCTACTCTATCACCTCATATTCTCTAGTAACTGACCTTCTTTATCTTTCCCCCTTAGAAAGATTGGTTACCAGGTCTGTTAATTTATCTCACATCTCCATATTAGCAAGTAGAACAGAATATAGATTATATCTCTGATATGTGCTTGATGGTTTAATGAAACATTTAAAAGAAAGTTTTGAAATCTGATTAAATTTTTTAAAAATCTCTTCAGCTCATTACTTTTTATATCTGACAGCAGGGTTCTTGCGATTTTACTAACCTGGAACCTACTGTGAACTCTCTGAGGTAGACCAGATCAGGAAACAGAGCCACAAGAAATACTGGAACTCAACTTTATTGCTATAGGCTATAATAACAGAATCTTGAAAGCCTGACAAAGTTTCTCTTTCCCTCCCTCTTATACCCAAGAGAGTCCAGGTGGGCCAATCTTAAGTTTCTTTCTCACCCTTTCCTTTCTTTCTGGGCTAAGCTGATGTTTTTGGAATGGTTGCCACATATTTTCTTCAAGGCTATCTCCATCTACCCTGGAAGGCCTTCTGGTTAAATGCAGGTAAGTAATCAAAGTATCTAAGACTAAAACTTCTTAATAATATTGTGGCTTTATATATTCTTAATTTGATAATACCATTTTAAAGGAACAAGTTCAAAAGCAAACCAGGAAATGGAGAAAATGCATTTAATCTGCATTTCTCTCCACCCCTATAAAAAATTCTTCAACCAAACAGATTACTTACGTTGCTGGCTTCTCTTATCACTAGCATTTTTCAATGGGAGACACACTGGGCAGTCATGCCGTGTACAGTTCTTCCAGTGGGATATGATCTGACGTGATGATGCACAATGTGCCACTAGAGAAGAGAAACCATAAACTAAACCTCTATGGTCTTGAATAACCTTAATTCCAAATCATATAGCAGCATTTGCAAAACTTGGATCTATGAATAGGGAGAATCCACTAATCCCTTCCGTTTGCTATACTGCAACAGAAAATTCTCTGTATTGATCATATACTGAGGATATCACCTACTAAACATGGAAAGGTAACCTGAATGACTGTATTGAAATACCATTAATACAAACTTATTTACTTTTCTAAAAAAGACCTATGGCTCAAAATCCTCCTAGCTCAAGCATGTTACCGTAATTTACAAGAAATGCAACTCTTTAAGGTTGCTTACTGGCTCTTGCCAGGTAAAGACAGGTTTGAAGACATTTTTGAAATCAGAATGAAAAAAAAGATTAGCCTCACCAGTCAAAACTATCTTGCTTTAGGTTCCAAATGTACAGAGTAAGCAGAAATGTCAGCAGAATACTACAGTAAACTTTAAAACTCTTAATGAGAGAGCACTATTTAGTCAAAAGTAGCCCAACTAAAAGTGATTGGAAGCAGCTTCTTGCAACCCCACATGCCTCTTCCAAGGCAGCAAAAGCCCTATTACCTATTCTTTTGTGAATACATTTAACTAGTGAAAACTTATGTGAACCTCATGAAGGTGAAAGCTGCAGACATATAGGAAAACTCACTTCTTTCCAAAAGATTCTATCTCACGAAAGCAAGGAAAAATAAATAACCCTTTCGATTTCAAGGGATTCAATAACACCATGTCATGTGAACGAATGGCTTATATCAGTCTCCAGAGATCTCAATTACCAATGGCTGTGGAGGCTGAAAATCACAGGCATTGCAATCCAACATCTCAGAGCATCAGGCTGGCTTTTTGGTCAATTTCCACCCCAACTCTCCTAGTTGTTGTATAAATCAATAGGAAGGCACTAGGTTGTACCAAAGCTAGGGAGCAACACAGGGCAGGCTTGTTGAGATAAGCTCCTGGCTCTTACCTTGACAGGCCTTTCCCGCTTGACAGTGTGTCATGTGATTGAGGACATTTTTCATGGTTCGGCAGTGGGGAAGAGCACATGCCCGCACCTCTCCATTTGCTTGCTCTCGCCTCTGACACTTATGAGCATGAAGTAGTAGAACTAGCTGTTGCTGAATCAGTTTGCGTTTCTCAGGGTCAGCTGTTGGCCCTGTTGCCATTGCCTGAGTTGACACAATTCCCACTTGCTGTACCTGGGTTTGCATCTGAGACTAAAACAAAAAATGCATGGCATGAAACATTATACACACAGAACAGCACATAAACTTAATAAATAGTGATAATTTGACTACCATCTCAAACCTCTTTGGCATGATAAACTGCCTCTAAGAAGCCCACAGGCAAACCAAACATAGTATAGCCATTTTACTTTTAATGCTAAGGTAAACTTTAGCATAATTTTGTAGCTTATGTAATAACACATACAGTACATTGTTTAGGAATAAAAAGACTCAGAACTCAAAAAAAAAATAGAGCTATGGTCAAAATCTTTTAGAAGGCACAACTCTGCTTTTCCATAATGAAAGATAATTAAAAATACATTAAAATACTTCAGATTACACACACACATGTACCTTCACATACTGAATGGAAACTCCATTCAACTCTGCAACTGCAGGGGTACATATTGCATGGTTACATGAGAATGACATACATTCTAAACTAATCTACCTCCATCTAAAGGCTTCTTCAGTGTTTGCTGGTTTTCTGTGTGACTCCCTCTGCACAGTTTGAGCAATCTTTCTGGTCTTCTAACTAGCACTGCAAATGACTTGACAAACAGTAATCAAATAAATCTCCCATAGAAAAAATAAATTTCCTTATTAGCTCCCTTAACTTCACAAAGGTTGCTAACAAATATATCCCAGAGGCACAACTTATCCAAACATCTCCTGAAAAACCTACTAAAATGCTGCACAAGAAAGTCCTCTCCAGAGCTTATTACTACAGTTCCAAGTTATTTAGGATGCAGTTTTCTGCATATCCCTTCCTATGATTCTCACTGAATACAATTATGCTTTTTGAAGGGCTTTTTATCATCTTGCACCAGTAGTATTGACAAAAGACACATCAGTATTGTAGAGAACATCCAAGTGAGCTACAAGCAACTCACCATATTTGGCACACTGGTAACTGAAACACTCTTGATATCTGAAGGAAAGGGAGACAAGTTATTTGCCATGCCTTGTTTATTTGCTAGCGGTGGGTTGACTCCTGTTGCTCCCATCTGCTGCCCTCCAGGTTGACTAAATGGTTGCCCAAAGGGACCTGGGTTACTGGCCATTCCCATCTGGAATGAAAGCAAAGTTAATAACGTTAGCACCCTGCATTCACTTAAATGCAGGTACAGACAGAAAGGAATATATAATTTTCCAAGCCCAAAATGCAGTTTGCCTGAATTAATAGTACAGGTAGTCCTTGTTTAGTGACCACAATTGGGACTGGCAACTTGGTTGTGAAGTGGTCGCTAAGTGAAACTGCCACTATGCTTATGATCTTACTTCAGCTTTCCTTGGCTTTACAGGTCATAAATGAATGAATGAATGAATGATTGGTCACAAGGTTATTTTTTTCATCACCGTCGTAGCTACAAATGGTCATTGTATGAGGCTGTTGCTAAACAAAGATTACCTGTATGCCTAAAGCTTAACAATTAGGACTATTACATGTATGTATATGGTTTTGTTGAACCTCAGCCACGATCTTCAAACATTAGTTTTGAAGGAATACTGCACATTTTATGAAAAGTAAAAATTATCACTGAAACCGGAATAAGCACGTTCCACACAAAGAGGAAATTACTTGCCCTTTACTTTTTAAATCTTATTTATAATATTTCAACGTAAGGATGAATAAGAATAAAAATTCAATAGTTTGAACTGGAATTAGCATTTGAAGCGTGAAGTAAAAAATAAATCAAAGTATCTTCTTCTGACAAGCACTGCTGCTACTAGATAGAAGGGTTCATTCTAGTATTTAAACCACTTGCTATGCATTCCTGTGATTTTTTGGTGGCCACATTAATTTTAAAGTATTGTGCATCAGGAATTGAGAAACTGTGACCCTCCAGGTGCTTTTGAACAAGAACTGCCAGCATTCATGGTGAATTATTATATTAGTTGGGATTGATGAAAGTTGGCATTTGATAACATCTGGAGGACCAGAGGCTTCCCGCCCTACTGCACATAAAAGAGATAACTACAAAATAAGCTTCAAAGACCATTTGACTGATATGCATTTTCTACCACTTTTTAAAAATATATTTTTTAATAATTTTCATCTTGTTTACTGATTATTAATATAGTAATTGCTAATATCCCAGGGTAATTTTGCAAAGATTTTGAAAAGAAAAATTGTTGCTAGATCTCAAAATCAGCAATTAAAAAAATTAAAAGGTAAATTAATGAACAAGACTAAACAAATATGTTTGTCAATAAAGAACACCAAAGAAAATTATCTGAAATGTTAAATTATTAATGGACAGAACAATTATGCAAGCAAAAGAAATTTCTAGAAACATGTCAAGTAATTTGCTACTAACTAGATTATAAATGTCAAACTAGATTATGGAAAGCATTCAAATCTTGCAGCCTATTTTACATGACCAGTGTATCTTAGATTAGCAACCCCCAAAATATGCCCCAATGCTATATAGCCAACTATTTCTGACACTAAAGTACCTGCTATGATATGCTAACTACTCAAATACTTTGATCTTTGCAAATTATTTGGATCCAAAGAGCAGGTGATGCCTCCTTACAAGATAATGTTTTATAACATCTCACTCTGGACAGTTTAGGGAAAAAAGTGAGTGAAAGGGGGCATTGCAGAGATGTAAAAACGCATCTTCAGAGGCAATGCATAAGGAGGCCTCCTTCTTTCTCTTTCTCTCATCCCCTCCTTCCCTTCTAAATAGGACTAGTACCCAGTCATTCAGTGGTGGGATACGCAGTGCAGAAAAAATGAAATACTTTTCCCCAACAATGGAATTTATTTTCAGAAAAGTATTAATGAAAGAAATTAAGAAAATTCATGGAGACTGGTCTACCAATGGCTCTCAATCCTGATGGCTTTATACTACTTTTAGGATCATGCCAGCATTATTCTGATTACCACTTTCTACAGAATTACCAAAGAAATGGGCAACTGTCCTTGTCACTTGTTTGTGGATTTTCTCAGGACCAGAGTGGCCTTCTCAACTGAGTTTCTGGTTCTCTAGGAATTCCTGGAAATGTGTCTTTGGATTGATTGATTTCAGATATTCATTTGTCCCTCTATAGTTTACAGGTGAAAATTGCAAATAAAACCCACGTAATGCAAATGAAAAACAGGAGAGCGACACAATCAGTTAAAAACAGTGAATCGAAACAGTAATGCTTAAGTCATGCTTCTCAGAAAATCTAAAAAATGCCATAGAAATAAAACTAATGTTTTATTTAACTTTGGTGGCTTCCTCATTTGTTTTTCAGCTAATTAAAGCTTGTTCAAGGTTCTGATGTTAATTCTGAAAGCCCTTCACAGCTTGAGTTGCAGCACCTGAAGGACTGTTTCCTTCTATATGCGAGTTATGCTCTTTACTGTATCTTCTTCCTGAAGCCTGGTTCTGAGGTGTGGCATGGGCCTGCTTAGGAGCAAGCCTGTTCAGTGGTAGCTTTCCAGTTTCCAATTCCATCTCCAGAAAACTCTGCCCAGCGTTCAGCTCATTATCTTTTTCAGTGCCAAGCAAATACCTATTGATTCTATCAGATTTCTATATTTCTGCTATATTAGTTGAAAAACAAAATGGGGAGCCACAAAAGTTAATACCCCACATCAATACATAATTGTCCAAACTCCCAGTTCAAATCAGTACCCTGGCTATGTAATATTTTGTATTCTCTAGAGTTTTTAGACTTAAAAATCGCAGTAATCAAATTACATATAATTATCCATGGATCTTTAAAGCAATTTAAATTTAAATTTAAAGCAATCGCCTTGATGTGTAACAGTCAAAATTCACATCTGTTATATTAAATGCCTATCAAGTCATCAAATTATCTTTAAAAAGAATCAAGAGATTTACGCTGAGATGCATATATCTCATGAGGGTGTGTCAGTACACTGCATATACTTCCTAGTTGGGGGGATATGGGTAACAGCTTATTGGCTGGCAAGGTAGTCTCTAAATTCCAGATAATCGTGCAAACATGGCTGAGTAAAACTAGACCTTGGTTATACTTCTGGCATATTGGCCAAATGTGCCAAAACTCACAGGTACTAGTGTTATAATTAGATGTGACATGCGTACAACTAAGGCTAGTAACCTAGCCCATATTTTTTCTAACTTCCTAAAAGTCTTATGGGAAATCTTAATTGATTAAAGTCATAATGGGCAATGGAGATCAACATTTATAGGCTCATTTAGTGATGACTACAGCATATGGAAAATTGTGATTTGAAATGTAAGAGGAAGAAATGGTAAAGAGCAAGAATTAATCAATGAGAAAAAGTGAAAGTAAAAGTGGAAAGATGTAATGGATTTGAATGAAGATGGTATAATCTTGCAGAGTGGTGTCGATGAATATATACAGGGAAGGGATGGAGCAGGTTTTATCATAACTAAAAGGGCTAAAAGGCATGTCAGAATGCTGTCATCCAGGTTATGAGCTCATATGAAAGTAGGAGGTTGGTGATAGTTGCCTGTTACATTCCACTTAATGCTCATAATGGAAGACCCTAATCTGTCTGTTTTGAATATGTGGTTTAATCATGAACTTATTCATAGAAACACATGGCTAAGGAATTAATATAAATCTAAAACCTGATTATTTATGAAGATTCAAAGAATTAAATTAAGGAATCAAGGGTTCTGAAAGTGGAATAACCATTTTTAGTTTTGTCCAGGATGGATCATGAGAAAAGACAGACATGAAATAAATGTAAAGAAGTGAAAGAAAGGAGAGTGAAAGTAGAATGACTCCAAAACGAGTATGAATTCTCTGTAAAGAAGTTTTAGAAGATTAATCTCCTAATACAATGAATGAATAGATATAAGAAGAGAGTGAAGAAGCAAAATGATTACCTAAGAGTCTGTGAATGAGAAAAAAATGCATAGAAGAGAATGACTTATAGTTGCAAAATACAGACAATTTTGATGGAAACAAAAAAGTTGTTTTGGAAGTGGGTGAAGAGGGTTAAACAAGAACCCTCCAGCAGAGTGAATGGGATTTAAAATGAAAATGTTGAAATTATTTGGGAAGAAAATGAAGTAAGGGAATGCTAAAAGGAATATTTTAGTGGAGACTGAAATTGAATGCTCTAAATGTTATTGTCCAAGAAAAGAAGTGACCAAAAGGTCATACATTCTGTGAAAATGTTGAGAAGTGGTAAGGCTGCAATGGTGGATGTATTGTCGAAGGCTTTCACGGCCGGCATACGATAGCTGGTGTGGGTCTTCCGGGCTGTGTGGCCGTGT